CATTAAGAAATATGATGATGAAAATTAAAACATGTTTTATAAATAAGTGAAAATGTCACATGATTAAAGGGGTTTTACCATCCTACAAACATAAGGGGAAAAAGGGAATTGGTTGTCTTCCAGTAGGTGAAAAGCAAATAACACGAATCTATGTCATCTATAAATAAAATATTTTAATTATTTTTGATTCATTGTGAAATTGCAGGTGTTATATCTGCCTTGAAAATCTGTATTAAAATTATAGTTATATACAAGCTATATTGCTGATTTGTATGATGTATATGTCTGTATTCATTTTCTGTTAAAATCAAACAAAAAAATATTTAAAAAGATAATAGTTTTTAGAACTTGTAAACTAATTAGGCCCACTGGAACCTTTGACCCTTTACAACAGAGAAAAGATGCTGTATCTAAGAATGGATTTTATTGAAAATCAGTAAGATGCATTGTTTTAGATTTTAAGTCATATTCTTGTGACAAGTACAAGAGCCAGAGTCCCATGGAACATATTGCATGGTTACCAGCTGTCTGTGCAGAAATCACTTCAATATTGATACATTTAAACTAATATATTTACATCCACTGAATATTTTCCCCTTTATTTCTTAAGAAAACCCATTGCGTTAATCACTACATGAACTACATTCTAGGCATGTCGCCTGTACAGATTTCTAGATCAGTGGCTGTTCCATCAATGAAACGTATAAAGACATTCGCATCATTAATACAATAATTAATCCTTTTAATCCTACTTTAAATGATTATTTAAACAGATATAAATATAAACAATAAAATGTCTTTCTTTGATTGTTATTACTGGAATTAACGATTGCAGCAATTGCAGAAAAAAATTTACATAACCTGCTTACGCGGGTTATGTATTTTTTCTGCAACAGCTGCTTCTGTTAATTCCAGTAATTACAAACAAAGAAAGCATTTTATTGTTTGAATGTAGTCTCAAACTTCTTGTACATTAATGAGGGGCATGAATTGAGCAAACTTGAATCTACACTCTCTGAGGATATTTTATGCCATTGCTTCCATGTATCAGTATGACTATCTTTGGCCACAGGAGTTCGCGTACCTATCAATTTTGCCGAAATTTTAGTTAAATAAAAAAGATACGTAATACCTATAATAATAACAGTGTTATTATTATACGTATTACGTATTTTTTTATTTAATGAAAATTTTGGTATAATTGATAGGTACACGAACTCCTGTGCTTTGGCTTTGCTGTTCTTGGAAAGTTTTAATTATATCCCAAGAAAATCATATATCTTTTATTAATTAGACATGTGGTTATTTTTTCTTGTAATAAGAAAAATATAATATGAAGCTTCTGTGGTTCAGAATGGGTCAGGTTATATTTTTTCATATTTCAAAAAAATCAATCCATCAACAATCTGTTTAGAGTTATCGTCCTTACTGTCTATCACGTGACGTCACAAAGCCATGACGTCATAATAGACTGGTTTCTCACTCAATCGATTTGGCGAGGAGCCTTTTTCCAAAATTCAGAGTTTTCGGTGCAATATAGGTATTTGCAGTACGAAGCTGAGGAAGGTTTTGTATTAACGTAAGTAAAGATTAAGAATATTGGTTTAAGAAATTACATATAATTATCTTGAAGGATACGAAGAGAAAATGTTGTGGCAACTCGATTATATATATACTTTAATATAATAATAATTAACCTGTCCTGTCAATATCATTTTATATGTAAGTCATCAAAGTAATCAAGTTTTGAGATTATTTGCCATGTGAAGCAGAAAAGAAGTGATTTCTAAACATAATACTTGCAAATAATGACAATTTTACTCTCTTGTTTACCAGTCATATTTTGATTTGCAATTTTTACCGCTTTCTCCTTTTTTATCGTCTAATCCTCTAAAAAGAAATGCTGTTTTTTAAACAGTTAAAAAATGGATTCAAATGCGGGTCCATCGTCGGCTGAATCCCACCTTGGGAAAAGCAAGGTATGTGAATTCAAAATCAATTTTCTGTTACCTTAATTTATTGCAAACAATTTTTAACATTTTGTATAAAAAAAGGAGGTGGTGTACAAAATGTTTACAATCAGTTATACTGTCCCTTTATACTCATATCCAATGCAATCCTTGCCCCGACTCTTTTTATAACTTTTTCTATGTTTTTGTTTTAAATAATTGTTTTGAAATATTCGTAATTTTTTTTAAATTAATACTCGGCTAAAAACAATTTAACACAAGACTCTAGGTTGGCTTATTTGATCTTTTTTTTTATATAAAATAAGAAGCAAATTTTGAGAGGGAATAAATATTTTCAAGATTTGTAACACGGGTTTGGATTGAGGATTAAGATTTACATAGGTTTAGTAAGTGTATTATTTATATACATGTAATTTAGAATCAAATAAGTTCCTTTCATTATTTATTGTTATTGTTTGCAGCAGGATGAGGAGGAAGAGATGAATAGTGTTCCTTTGGAGAGGAATGAACTGGTAAATTCATTGGGAAAAATAGATTAACAATGTTTTACTTACTGGGCAAACTATACTAAATACAGAATATATATAATACGTGTATAATAAATATGGTTTTAATAACTGTTTTATCATTTATTAAAAGAAATTATGAAAGGAAACTGTAACTGATAAAGCCAATGATAGACAAATTTAATTCTCTTGTTCAGTCCACCAAAGCCTCCATGATGATCATGATGGTCGAACACGATGACACTGATGATGAAGACGAAAGTCCTGAAGAACTGGACCAGGCTGTATGATTATTTATCTAAACTAAGGCTCTGTAAATAGATAAATATACTCACTATTTTCTTACAAATTAAACTTTGTCCACTAACTCAGTTATTTTATGTTTCAGACGTTGTCCAGTATGTGCACGCTACCTGCCGAGATTGTTTTGGAAGAACGGGTAATAAATTGAATATAAATGTTTTTTTTTATATGGAATCTAGATTTTATTAAATATGTATAAATGAACTTTGAGCTGCTTCTTAATCTATGAAATGTTTCAGGCTAGACAACTTTCAGAGCTTAGCATGAAAGAAGCACTTGCTGAAGAATTATTTAAATTTGAGGTAAATACTAGTACTCAGGTTCACCGTACTGATTTTCAATTTTAAAATTCTATCAAAAAGAAATTGTTAATAAATTTGAACCTCTACAAATCTATTTTTTTAAAAAGTGTTTTGGTACAAAAATTGAGAAAATGATGAAAAAAAAATTCTATCAATTATGATTACAAGTACATGTTGCCATTATGATAAAATAATTATATACTATAAATTTAACTTCTTTACAGATCAGTAGAATGTCCCTCATTGCTATACATTCCGCTTTCTCCGCTGCTGTATCAGACGAGAGTCGCCCAGCTAAACGCAAGGTGAGTTTCTATCTTAAACTTTTTCATCTTGATTACTTCGTTGATGTATTAAATGCAAATATCAATGATTGTTTGATATCTTTTTTTCCCATTTCAGCCAAACATCTTCAGAAGATTTGTTTCGTGCTGTTGTTCTTGCCTAGGTAGAAGGAACCGTTAATGTTTTAATTTTTGTATTGTTAGCTAATGTTTTAAATTAAAATATTTTTTAAAATATTTTTTCTCTTCTATGGTCAGTTTACGTAAAAAAAAAAAGAAAGAAAGAAAGCTTCCCTTAAAGTACCCCCCCCCCACCCCGAGGATACCAAAATCGGTAAGAAAAAAATGCATACACTGTACGGGCATATAACATAAGTGCATTTGAAATACAAGTATATTTTTAAAAGATAAATAAAAATGACTATTTTAGAAACTAAAGCCGGGTTGGGGTGCTGTATAACGCGAGGCTGGTCTTCCCCAGGAGCGAAACTTCATTCTACAGTATACCAGTCTTCAGGAGAGAGACCTACGGGAAGAGGCCCCACTGTATAGCCAGCCTCCCGCTTAGAAGGCCCACTGTATAGCCAGCCTCCCGCTTAGAAGGCCCACTGTATAGCCAGCCTTCCGCTTAGAAGGCCCACTGTATAGCCAGCCTTCCGCTTAGAAGGCCAGGAAAAGGGCCAACTATATACAGCCAGCCTTCAGGAAAAAAGACCACAGTATATCCAGACTTCCGGAAAGGAGGCTCCCTGTGTATACAGCTCTCCAGGAAATATGTCACCCGAGTGGCACAGGAGTTAGAGCGTCTGCTCTAGAAGGATATGGAGATAACGAACAGTATTCAATATCAAAGTCCATAAAACAATACAAAATAGGAGCAGAGCATATAAGGACCTCAGAAACATCAAAGGTGGGATCAGGTGCCATGGAGGAGTGAGCATCCCCTGCTGACCGGTCACACCCGCTATGTGCTCCTTGTCATGATCTTGAAATAACGGAAAATCTGTCGTCAATTTAATGTATATATAATGGACTAACAATTCGTATGAAAAACGTCAGTCAGCATTTGACTCAATAATAAATTGTATTTGTTGACAAGGTCATTGTATCGACCATAGAACTTACGAAATGACGACTTTAAACGAGACTGCTGATATTCTTGTTTCATCAACTTGCTTGTCAATAATTTACCTCGATTTAGAAATTGTTCATACGTAGAGCATGCTCTTGCGTATTGAATCAACTGAGATATATACACTCCGTATGCAGGTGATGAAGGTATATTGCTGCATAAGTAAGGGAAGCTGACGATAGAAAAGTTAAAGTCGTCACGTTTACCATATAACTTGGTTGTTAGGTTACCATTAACGTCTTTTTCAAGTTAAATATCCAAGTATGAAACAGAGGTGTCAGACTTTATAGTATCTTTTATCTCAAGCTCTCCTGGATATATCGTATCGACGTAGGAATGGACATTACCATTGTTAATTGACAATACGTCGTCGATATATCTGAAGGTCGAGTTGAAGGCCACAGCAAGTGTTTTCTTCTTTTCAAGCATAAGATTTTGCACAAATTCTGCTTCATATGAATATGAAAATAGGTCTGCTAACAACGGAGCGCAATTGGTTCCCATGGGAAATCCAATAGATTGTTGGAAGACCTGGTCTCAAAAAACCACACAGATATTGTCAATCAGAAACTCAAGCTCTTCTTGATGTCAACTTCAGAGTACTTGAGTGTGCAATCAGAATCTTTTTTAAGAGTTTTTTTTCTAGAGTACATTGTACTAGTATTTAAATGAGGGATTGTTCCTTACGTCGTGGGTTCGAATTCCACTATGGGACGTGAAGACCGGTCCTTCGAATGAGACCGTATGTAGAAACCAAGGTCACAGTATTGGACAAAATTTGCAGTTCTCCAAATGGCAAGTAGTGGCGTATGAGTGAAATATTCTCAAGATACAATCAATAACTCGATCCCCAGAAGGAAGGCGCAATGTAAAGCCAGCTCTCCGGGAATAAGCTTTACTGTATAACTAGCCTTCCAGGAATAAGTCCCACTGTATAGTCAACGTTACGGTAAGAGGGTTCACTGTAAAGCAAGCCCTTCCGACAAGAAAGCCAACTATATAGCCAGCCTTCCGGGAAGAAGGCCGACTGTATACCCAGCATATAATACGGAAAGAGGATCCAAAGTATAACCAGCCTTCCGACAAGAAAGCCAACTGTATAACCAGCATTATGGGAAGAAGACCCTCTGTACAGCCAGTCTTCCGAGGAAAAGGCCACTGTATAGCCAACCTTCCGGGAAGAAGACCAACTGTATAGCCAATCTTACGAGAAGAGGGTCAATTGTTCCAGCCTTACGAGAACAAGGGCCACTATATAGCCAGCCTTAGGGGAAGAGGGTCCATTGTATATCCAGCCCTATACCCACTGTAAATCCACCTTCCGGAAAGAAGGCCCAATGTATATCCAATCTTACGGGTAGAAAATCTATTGTATAGCCAGCCTTACGGAAAGAGGGTCCATTGACTCCATTGTATAACCAGCCTTACGAGAATAAGTTCCACTGTATAGCCGGCCTTATTTGAAGAAACTCCATTATATAGCCAGCCCTACGGAATTAATGCCCACTGTATAGCCAGTCTTACGGGAAAAGAATCCATTGTATAGCAAGCCTTACGGGAAGAGGCTCCATTGTAAAACCAGTCTTACGGGAATAAGGCCCACTGTATAGCCAGCCTTACTGGAAGATGGTCCACTGTATAGCAAGCCCTTCCGGGATGACGGCCATTGTATAGCCATCCTTACGGGAATAATGCCTACTGAATAGCCATCCTAATGGGAAAATATACATAATTTGGGGGTCCATTGTATAGCCAGTCTTACGTGAAAAATACCCATTGTATAACTAGTCTGCCCGGAAGAGGCCCACTGCATAGCGTGCCTTTCGGGAAGAAGGTCATCTTATATCTTGCTTTCCGGGAAGAATTTCTCTATCTACCTATTTTTATATCCCCGCTTGAAGAGCAGGAGGGTATATAGTAATCGTTATATCCGTCTGTCCGTCTGTTACGCTTTGGGGTACCCATCTCTTATCCGCAACTCCTCTCATACCACTGAATGAAATTTGATGAGACTTTCACGGAATCTTTATTACATATTGTCATTGTGCACCTCTTATTTTACTTTTTGATCGGACACACAATTTGGGTTTCCTATAGCAAGACATGGACACTGCTATTACATTCATATTGGAAGAGGGGGTGTCATTTAGCTAGCCCATTGCTCACAGTACCTCTAGTTTTTTACCTTGTGTCAAGATAGGGCAAGCTAACATATTATTATAGTCAGACTGATGTGAAAAAGGCCCGCTGATTGACTGTACAGTCAGCTATCCAGGAACAAGTCCCACTGTATAGTCAACGTTACGAGAAGAGGGTCCACAGTGTATAGCAGGCCCTTCTGACAAGAAAGCCAACTTTATAGTCAGACTTACGGGAAGAAGTCCAACCGTATAACCAGCATTACGGAAAGAGGATCCATTGTATAATGAGTATTACGAGAAGAGAATCCATTGTATATCTAGCTCTATGGAAATAATGCCCACTGTATATCTAGTCTTCCGGGAAGAAGGTCCATTATACAGCCAGCCTTACTGAAAGACGGCTATTGTATAGCCACCTTACGGGAATAATGCCCACTGTATAACTAGTCTAGCCTGGAAGAGGCCCACTGTATAGCGTGCATTTCGGGAAGAAGGTCATCGTATATACCCGGTATTGCTTTCCGGGAAGAATTTCTCTTCCTATTATATACTGTCCACTGTATAGTCAGCCTTCCGGGAAGACGGCCATTGTATAGTCACCTTACGGGAATAATGCCCACTGTATAACTAGTCTAGCCTGGAAGAGGCCCACTGTATAGCGTGCCTTTCAGGAAGGTCATCGCATATACCCGGTATTGCTTTCCGGGAAGACAGCCATTGTATAGCCATCCTTACGGGAATAATGCCTACTGAATACAGCGATCCTAACGGGAAAATGATCCTTTGTATAGCCAGTCTTACGGGAATAATGCCCACTGTATAACTAGTCTAGCCTGGAAGAGGTCCACTGTATAGAGTGCCTTTCAGGAAGGTCATCGCATATACCCGGTATTGCTTTCCGGGAAGACAGCCATTGTATAGCTATCCTTATGGGAATAATGCCTACTGAATACAGCCATCCTAAAGGGAAAAGGGTTCATTGTATAGCCACGGAAAAATGCCCACAGTATAGCTAGTCTGCCCGGAAGAGGACCCAATGTATAGCGTCGTCGTATATCTTGCCTTCCGGGAAGAATTTCTCTTCCTACTTATTTTTATATCCTTCTCTTGAAAAGCAGGAGGGTATATACCCGGTAGTCCGTCTTTTACACTTTGGGGCACTCATCTCTTATCCGCAACTCCTCTCATACCACCGAATGAAATCTGATGATACTTTCACAAAATATTTATTACATATTGCCATTATGCTCCTGTTTTACTTTTTGATCGGACACATAATTTGGGTTTCCCATAGCAAAACATGGGCACTGCCATTATATTTATATGGGAGGCTGTGGTATCATTTAGTGAGCTCATTGCTCATAGTATCTCTAGTTTTTGCCTTGTCTCAAGATAGGGCAAGCTAACATATTATTATAGCCAGACTGACGTAGAGAAAGCCCGCTGATTGACTGTATACTCAGCCATCCAGGAATAAGTCCCACTGTATAGTCAACGTTACGGGAAGAGGGTCCACTGTGTATAGCAAGCCCATCTGACAAGAAAGCCAACTATATAGCCAACCTATTATTTAAAAAAAAAAAATTTCCCTTGAGACAAGATAGGGCAAGTTAACGTATTATAATGCAGGCAAGATAATATAACATATGGCACCTGAGGTCTTTATCTGCCGTAATCATAAAAAATTGGGAGTTTTGGACTTTTTAATTATAATCGTAGTATGCATGTACGTATTTCTTGCAATAAACAAAATAAAAACTAGAGGTACTGTGAGCAATGAGCTCACTAAATGATACCCCCCGCCTCCCATAATGTCGATGTGTTGCTTTATATTGTTTTACGGTAATGTGTAAAGAGGAATAACTCCTCCTATCAATGTTATCCAGAAGCTTCTATTATGTGACGTCATAGGTAAACAAAAAATGGCAATGTCCATGTTTTGCTCTGGGAAACCTAAAATACGTGTCGAATAAAAAAGTAAAATAGGAGGTGCACAATGGCAATATGTAATAAAGATTCTGTGAAAGTTTCATTAAATTTCACTCAGTAGTATAAGAGGAGTTGCGGATAAGAGATAAAGCGTAACAGACGGACGGACAGACGGACGGACGGACGGACGGACGTACAGACGGACGGACGGACGGAAATCCCGATTACTATATACCCTCCCACTTTTCAAGCGGGGGGTATAACTATGCAGTGAAATATTTTTAGACTATAAAGCAGCAAGAAAGTTTCGAAGAAACACTTTAAAAAAAAAAGAAGCTTTGACAAGCTGTTAATGTAAAAGGTTTTTTTTTTCACATTAACGATAGCATTTTTATTAGCCATAAGGCATGCGTTTTTTGTCACTCTTTCATGAAGGTCATTGTATCGATAACGCTGTGACCTTGAAGAATCATATCTGCGGCCTCATTGGACACCATAATTCGTCTCGGGGTGTATTTCGATAGACCTGCTTCCTTGACAACGGTCTGGTAGAACGGGGCCGTAGCAACACCACAGGCCCTACATTTAGAACTAACCGACACCACAAGTTGTAGTTTGGAATTAGGGTCTGCCGAGAAAATGTAATCCAAAGGGATTGGTGCCAAGTTAGTAGACATTCTCAACCCTTCGTATATTGTTCGACTCGTCTCATCGCCTACAACTTCTGTGACGATAATTTTTATCTCCGGGCCTTGTTCTGTCTTGTGAGAATTGTTCGTATGGTGATACTGGTAGAAATTTACATCAAGTGATTTACTCGGAAAAGGAAGGAGTTTGATTTGACACAACTTGACGGGAAACCTGGTTTTTAAGGATATTTTCTCCCTACAAACAAGACCCGCGGATCTTTGTCCCATAGATCCATACAGATTTTGAACCTTCACTTCGTTCGGAGCATTCTCAAACCTAGCGCCTTTCTGAAATTTTTCGGCACCCCCTTCGAATTTATGCAGCGTGAAATACTTGTATAAATCTAGCTGTTCCTTTTCATCTAAGACCTCAGTAGCAACAAGTAGACTAGAAAAAGTTTCTAATGAAAGTAAAGGTACTCTGAGCAAGTAAAGACTGTCTCCGAGCGATTTTCTCATGTTTTCTCCGGTAGGCTCCATTTCTCTTCGCTTACATTCTTCCTCTGCCCACCGAAGGGTGGCTTTGACAAGGTTTTCTTCCGAGGTACAAAACTTCCCATTCTTCAGGACTTCTCGCAAGTTATCCTTACTGAGAGACAGAAAGCCATCTGATTGTAAGCATTCTGTCGTGTTGAACTCTATGAATCTGAGTACATTTGTTTCTAGTTCTTTCAGATCGAACAACTTGGCTTGACTAAATATAACGCAGGCATTGTCACTATCGACCGCCGCTTCCAGAAAAGACTGGCATTGATTTACCAAGGCAGGGATCTGATATTTTTGTGCGGCATGTAAAGTTGGAATAACTGTGTCACCTTCAAGCTTTATTTTATCCGTGTAGATGAACCTAAAATAGATGTGAAATACATGATAAAGAGTAGCATACCTGTTCATATTATAGTAAAAGAAAAAATAGGATTAAAAGAAATTAATTAGCAATTTAAAACAAGGGTCTGGTGTACCCTTAATTAATATATTATCTTGCTTAGTGTTGATTGTAAACTAAAATCTTAAATATTGTAAGTATAAAATAATTCTAATACATTGAAGTGAAGTGCCATAAAAAAAAAAATACCTGAGCAGAGTTCTGAAGATGTCGTAGGAGATGTCCTCAATATTCACGTCCTGACCCACTTCCTGGAGGGTACCGTAGAACATGGCTTTAAAAACTGGACTCCGGATAGCAAGGATCAGTTTGTGTGCCCTTAAGACGGATTTTTCCTCGTCCGACTCGTTCGGAAACTTGAAGGAGATGTCCGACATTTCGCCGTTGTTAAACATCGCTCTAAGGGATTCGGTCACCGTTCCGGGTTCTCCTCCGACCGACTGTTCCATGCTGTCACTGGTGGACGCAGTGCTTGTACTTTCACTCTCCATTTCCTTCGGTTCAAAGATTTTTCTTCTTTCTAAAATAACCTGATCAACATTTTCTGATTATCATTATGACGCATCCTCTCGAATGCAATTTGTAACGACCGCAAATGGATCTCGATCTCGATTGGTTTACGTACTGTCAAGGTGGCAGTTTACTTTTTAAAAGCTCTTGTCCCCTCCCAAAATTTAAATGAATTTCTGGTATGACATCTGACAACAGGCAATTTATTTATTATTTTAATTTTCTGATATATAGGTCTATTAGTGTGTAACGATATTTTGATATATCATAGTGAGATACTAGTATTCGAATAATAATCTTGTGATATCACGGATTTCTAAATTAAGGTAAATTTTTCAAGGCCTATATCCAAAAATCAGACAAGAAAATTCAGCAAGTAATATGCATGCTTGTGTGTATAAAATATTAATCCCCCTGATTTTTAATTTCTCCAATATTGACCTTCATCTTTCTCAGGCTCTATACCCTTAACCCCTCCCTCCGGTTTGTAATTAAATATTGGATCAATCTGAAATTCAAATACACCTGTACTATCTCGATTATAAAATTTATTTCTTTTATTTATATACATTTAAAACAAAAAATGTATACATGTATATACTAAATACACAAAGTATCTCGGACGTACATTTAGCAATTTTTTTTGCGAAATTATCGAGGTCGAACAAAAGCTCTTCCAGCTTTTTATTTTCTTGCTCTTCACAAAGTTTAGATTAAAAAAAAATATTCGATATTTTTATGTTTTCGTCTTGTCAGTGTGGCAATAACGCGCTTGCGAGTGTGAGAGTGTGTGAGCAAGTGCACTGATGAGCAATGATTAAGAAGAGCTATTATACAATGCGATTTTTGTTGGAAAAAAAATCATGTGGTCTTTTTAGCTCTACTGGTCAGAGACCAGAAGAGCTTATTCGATAGTAATGCGTCCGTCGTCAGTCCGTCTGTCTGTCTCTAGACAATTTTTCAAAATGCTACTCCTCTTACAGTTTTGGTTAAGATACATAATTCTGTGTATCGGTTTTTGGTTTCCATGAACGGTGTTGCTGTGGTTACTAAAAATAGAAATTTCTTCAAAATACTTTCAAAATGCTACTCCTCTCACAGTTTTTGGTCTGATTTCAAAATAATTGGCACACAAGTAGACAACACTAAGATACACGTGTAATTCTGTTTATCGGTTTTTTGATTTCGATGATCCGTGGTTACTAAATATAGAAATCTCTGGGAAAAACTATCAAAATACTACTCCTCCTACAGTTTTGATCTGATTTCAATGCAACTTGGCACACAAGTAGACTACACTATGATACAAATTCTTTATATCGGTTTTTGATTTCGATGAACTGTGTTGCCATGGTTACTTTCGATAGGAATTTCTGTTAAATACTTTAAAAATGCTACTCCTCCAACAGTTTTGATCTGATTTCAATTTAACTTGGCAAACAAGTAGACTACAGTAAGATACATAATTCTTTTTATCGGTAAATTAAACAAAATTTGATTTCGGTGTGGCCATGGCTACTAAAAATATAAATTTCTGTGAAATACTTTCAAAATGATACCCTCCTACAGTTTTGGTCTGATACCGGTATCGATATAACTTGGCACACAAGTACGAGGGTTGTTCAATAAATAACGTCCTCGGTGCTCAGAAAGAAGCAAAAGACGCTTTTCAATGATTTAGTCTTAATAATTTAACTTAATATTCTCTTTCAATTAAAACCCATGTCGATAAAAAATATTATCCAACTTCTGATTGTTGTTTTTAGAACTCATTTTTGGGTATGACCCTTAGTGTACTGAAAATGGCAGATTTTATGATTTCCTGGACTAGTTTCTTCGTTCTGAAAAGTGTTTTTTCAAGTTTGGAAAATTAAACAAGTCAAAAGGCGAAAGATCTGGCGAAAATTGTTAGTATGAAAAAAAAATCACTTTCTTTTTATCCCAAAATCTCCTTTACTCTTCATTGCGTGCGGGTCTGGACGCTGTCATGAAGAAATTTAATGTAGTGGATTCCTGATTCTGGTTCCTTCCTCTCATTAACCTTTCAATTTTTTTTGCAAAAAATTTGCTTTCTAGACTCTTCCAGAAATTAAACTGCCTCCCCGAATACGAATTTTAACAACAAGACCACTAATATTTTAAAAAATTGCATATAAAAATGCCTTTGTGATCTTGCAATTCTTTGCTCTTCTCAGACCTTTGCTGTATTTGTCAAGTACGTACATCTTATTGTAAATTTTGTTTCGATGGTTTTCAATCTGATTAATCAGATTGGATGGTTTTAAGCAATAAATTCAAGTTTCATTATCTCTTTGAATTTCAAACAAACTTGGATAACTACAATTTTTCATTTTTTTTAAAATGATTGTTTAGATATTCGTACACGCTGTCGTTTTCACCCATTTTTCAAAATATAGGGTGACCTTTGAGTACTAAGCTTTTTTACTGCCAAACGTTTTTTAAAACAGTGTGAACTACTCCCGAAATGATGTCTATCAAATTTGCAATCATACATCATCAGTGATTATTTGTTGAAAATTGGCAAACAGTGCATGAGTTGTTATAATTTTTGTTGGCAAGGACGGTACCCATTTTTGATACCCATTATATAATTTTTTTTTATCATTTAAATCCGCCTGCAAATTTGTCTATAAAACAGGCATTGGTTGCCGTAAATATTACATATTTCAGTGAATATTTCTTTGGGATTCTTAAAACAGTGTGAACTACTCCCGAAATGATGTCTATCAAATTTGCAATCATACATCATCAGTGATTATTTGTTGAAAATTGGCAAACAGTGCATGAGTTGTTATAATTTTTGTTGGCAAGGACGGTACCCATTTTTGATACCCATTATATAATTTTTTTTATCATTTAAATCCGCCTGCAAATTTGTCTATAAAACAGGCATTGGTTGCCGTAAATATTACATATTTCAGTGAATATTTCTTTGGGATTCTTAACGAGTTTTACAGCAGCTTGAATGAAGCGTTTAATTTCATTCTAGTTTACTGATTCTTTACCATTCATTTCTCGAATAGCCCTTGTTTTCCAGCTTCTCACAATGAAACTATTTGATGAAAAGTGGTCACATAAATTGTTATAAATTCATTAAAGATTCAATAATGTGAAAAAGTCAAGCTTAATGTCATATGATATTTGTATTGTATGTCACACAGTTCAGGACATTATTTATTGAACAGCCCTCGTAGTCTACACTGAGATACATAATTCTGTGTATCGGTTTTTAATTTCGATGAACGATGTTGCCATGGTAACTAAAAATAGAAATTTCTGTGAGATACTTTCAAAATGCTACTCCTCCTACAACTTAGGTCTGTGAGATACTTTCAAAATGCTACTCCTCCTACAATTTAGGTCTGATTTCAATATGATTTGGCACAGAAGTAGACTACACTAAGATACGTAATTCTTTTAATCGGTTTTGATTTCAATGAACAGTGTTGCCATGATTACTAAAGATAGAAATTTCTGTGAAATACTTTCAAAATGCTACTCCTCCGACAGTTTTGGTATGATTTCAATATAACTTGGCACACAAGTAGACTACAGTAAGATACATGTACATATTTCTGTATATCGATGTTTGATTTCAATGAACGGTGTGTCCGTGATTACTTAAAATAGAAATTCCTTTGAAATACTTTCAAAATGCTACTCCTCCTACAGTTTTCTTCTTCTTCTTCCGGTAAAGTGAAGGGCCGCTGCTGCGGCATATTCTCACTATGTTTAAAAGCGTGTATGTGAGGGGGAGTCCACGCATCTATTTACAATATTAAAAACTGATAAAAACATGTCCTGCATGATTTATGGTGTTTTATATCCCTGAATCCTGGTCTTAAAGGACTCTAGGGACATAGCCGTGATGGTGTCTTCTGGCAGCTGGTTCCATATCCTGATGGTAGTAGGAAAGAACGATTCCTTGTAGACGTTGGTACGGCAGAATGGGATCCTGTACCGGTGTTGGTGTCCCCTGGTGGCTGCTCCTGTTTGGCAGAATTGGGGAGGCAGGTCTATGGCAACAAGGGAATGGACAACACGGTACATCATAATAGCCTTTGCTTTAATTCTGCGTTGTTGTAGACTTTCCCATTCTAGCCTGTCGATCATCGTTGTGACACTACTGGTGGTGTTGTAGTTATTGGTCACGAACCTAGCTGCCCTTCTTTGCACAGCTTCTAGTTTGTCGATGTTTTTCTTTGTGTGAGGGTCCCAGACAGTGGATGCATATTCTACCTGGGGTCTGACCAATGTCTTGTAACACTTGTCCTTGATGTTGCTGGGACAGGACGAGAGGTTCCTCCTTAAAAAGGCAGTGGTGTTGTTTGCCTTCTTACATACACTATCAATATGATGGTTCCACGATAGGTTGTTGGAGATGTTGACCCCTAGGTACTTGGCCTTGGTGGTAGTGGCTAGCTCCTTCCCATGGATGTAATATGGGGTTATGCGTTGCTTCCGTTTGGTGGTGATACGGATAACCTCGCACTTGTCTGGGTTGAAATGCATTAGCCAGTCTGTTTCCCAATCTTGGAGGTTGTCAAGGTCCGTCTGGAGTTGTCTGGCATCCGCCTCTGTAGTGATGGTCCTGTACAGAAGGCAGTCGTCCGCGAATAACCTGGCCTTGGACCTCACTCTGGAGGGTAAATCATTTATGTATGTCAGGAATAGCAGTGGGCCGAGGACTGTTCCTTGGGGCACTCCAGATGTTACCGGTGCGGTTGGTGAAAAATGGCCCTCGACCAATACCTTTTGTGTTCGTCCGGACAAGAAACTCCTGATCCAATTGAGTAGGCTGCCTCGTACCCCGTAGTGGTCTAGTTTGGCTAGCAATCTCTCATGTGGGACCTTGTCAAATGCTTTGGAAAAGTCCAGTAGCTCTGCATCGACCTGGGTGTTGTTTTCAATACTCATGGCGAGGTCCTGGATTGTTGTTATTAGTTGGGACTCACAGGATCGCTTCTTCCTGAACCCATGCTGGTAGTCGGTTAGGATACTGTGATGCTCGAAGAAATTCATCAGGTGGCTGTGGATGATGTGCTCTATTACCTTGCAACACACAGAGG